AAGATTAAACATGAAAAACTAGAAATAAAATACTTAACCAATCTTCTTTTTTCTTGTTGTGTATTACTGAGGAGAGTTAACCTTAATTATTTTATACTAATGATAGTAATGCACTTAATTTTTATTTAATTAAATGAAGCACCAAAGAAAATAGACTAATAACATGCAAAAAGTAGACCAATTCCCTTACCTCTCAACATTTTTTTGGCTTCCTAACTATGCGATAAGAGTCATTACAAATTTATCCAAAATGGTTGTTAATTTTTTCACAGGAATGATGCTGGTACTCTGAGTGAAACTGACATTTAACCATTCAGAACATAATGTTATTTGATAGATGAAAACCTTGACTTTCTATTGGTTATACATAACCTATAATTAAACATAAGATAGAACTATTAATGAATTCTGAAAGAGAGGATGTGACAGGTAGGCATGGCAGGAGGGGTATGATTTTTTATTCCATACCTCTGTAACCAATAAAAATTTAATACTACAAATATTATAATTTGTCTGAGCAATGATGATTTTATATTGAGTAATTTACGTTTAATTTCATACTTTTTCGAGGGGTGGTGGATAAAATAGAGAAGATGACATGCTAACAGAAAATGGGTCACATGGGTCACACTTGAGGAAATTCAGAATTTTGTTAAATATTGCCTTGTAGAATTAAGAATTTAAAACTTGTAAACTATTAAAATATGGATTATTAGCTAATATTTTATGCTATTTTAATTCGTATAACATAAACAAAAAGTAGTTTAATTAAATTTTGAACGTAAGACACTGAAATCTTGTGTCATGTGCAGTAAAGGATACCTGTGTGATAGGGTTAAAAACACCATTAAACACTTTTTCAAGAACAAAGTATTCTAGAACTATATTCAACACACTGCTAAAATCCTTAAAAAAGGCCCAAATTAAAAAAAAATTGAAAAGGGCATATCAAACCAAGATATAATACATAATCTACCAAGAAGTGAAGGAATGGTGGTCAATTAAAAAGTGTTTGGACGAAGAAAGAAAAAACAGAACAAACGTATGTCTCTCTTGAAAGACATAGATGTAATACACATAAAAAATTAAGCTTGTAAGTGAATGAGACTTTCGTAGAAAGCTGTTTCCCATTGTTTATTAATTGTTTCTATTAATTTTACTTGCCCAAACTGTAAATCTAATTATAGTACGAAATAATTTAAAGTAATTGTGATATATATAAATCTTAAATATTTTTAACTTCTGAATGAAAACATTCTTACATTTTTTTACTTTACACAAATGAAACAGATTCAAAAAAGATAAAATATTATAACACTTACTCCACTTTACATGTCTCAATAAAACATGTAGTTAGTAATTATGTTGCCTTCCAATATACATACAGAAATTTAACTTTCACACACACACACACAAAACTTTTACACCCAAGAAACTTACCATATAAAGTTTCTGCAATGAGAACAAAATGTTGGTTGCTGAAAGAAGGTAGCCACAAAACTGTGGCCACTGATATGATGCACAAGTTCATTCATTGTATATCTTCAGTAATTAATCCTAGACTTTTCTCAACACCCTGGGGAACCTGAAACCATTCCATAAGATATTAGTTGTTTTTGTACTATCATGGAGAGTATACAACATTAACTTGATGCACGTCAACTCACTGTACACGTTCAATTAATCTGACATTATTCTTAATACTCTGAGTTAACTACTGACCAGAAGGCAGGCATTTTCCAGCCCTTAGAACCAAATAACATGATTGGCTGTCACATTTACAACAGGCCCACAGCTGAGAGTTCAGGGGCATTCCATCCTAAACTTCGGACCTTTTAATCTGCAGCCCAAAACACTAGCCACTAAGTCACATCCAGCTCATGCTTAAAAGAGAGTAACAATGTTTTAACCAAACATATTACACCTCATGTTTCGCCACTTACATTGAGTTTATTTTGTATATCAATGCATGGCATGAAGAATCATAAACCCTAAACTGGCTGCTAACTTGCAAAGCATATGATGCAAATGAGATTATTTTCTTGTAAGAACAGCACTGGCATTTCGTACTAAATTACTTCTTTAGAATTATTTATAAGTGGGATTTTTCAATTACAAAACGCTGCTTTGAACAGTGATTTTATTAATAAATTAAAATGATATTCTAAAAAGGTTTTGAGACGAAAAGTTAAAATGTGCATTTAGATTGGTTTAGTTTTTGAAAAGCTCAGGACAAAGATGACAGGTGAAGTATTAGAAATCATATTATAATTTTTGAGACCTTTGTTGTTCATTATTTATATAAATGATATTGAAAACAATATGGGTGTCAAGTACATCACTTAGTTGATGATCTCAAGTTGATGACAAGAATAAAGATTTTAATTTTGAAGTAGAAATATCTCTCTTGGCTTAAAAAGTAACCAAGAATGTACGAAATGTATTCAAATAATGAAAGGACTAAAGTCATTCATTTGGGATACAGAAATAAATGATGTTAAAGAACAGATGATTATATAAAAATATGTCTTCAGCAATGTCTGCCAGTGTCAACTACAGATAAATGGATTTTGTATCTGTTTCAAAATTTTCATGCAAAGCTACACAGGATTAGCTATGCATAGCTAACCCTACTTTTGAACCAACAGCTTAGATGGATGAGAGCTAGTCAATAGCACCAATTACCACCTCTTGTCTGACCAAATAGTGGGATTTGATCATCCCACTTATGGTTTCAAGGTGCAGAAAGTATGAATCCTCAGATCCAGTCCGAAAATGCTAACCATTAGGCCAAATTCAGCCTGTTTGGCTATTTATCCACACTACAAAGATTTTACAAAAAAATTTGGAGTACTGTGCCAAATACTGGACCCCTCTGCCTGATGGTACAAATTCATGTTTATGAATTTGACAGTGTACATTTTATAATTTTAGTAGGTTGTTTAGGAGTAATGGTGCAACCTCTGTGAAACCAAAGAACAAATAATGGCTTTCTGTTATTTTCCTTTCTTTTTCTTAAAGGACATTTCACAATGGCAAGTTTACAAATACAGGATATCCTGGACTATGAAAAGATTTACCTAAAAACTGTGTTAAAAAATGAAATACTGCAGAATTTCACTGAAATAACTCAACATCATCAGGAATTTCTGGTCAAAGCAAGCTATACTTACATAAATCAGAACTAAAAAATGAAGCTAGTGATGCACAGATAATTAAATACTTTGTTTTTACTAGGAGTACACCAAGTAATAAAAAAACCAATTTATACTGATTAGAATCCACTGATTCATTAGGAGGGTACCCATGCTGCTAAAAATATTTTCAGTCATAATCCCAATGTGTTCAGCCAGCTTAGTTAGTCTTAAAACCCCAAAACTAAACTAACAATGGAAAATAGTCATACTAATATATAAGATACAATAAAAAATAATTAAACCTTAAAATTGTGAGTTGGTTATACAGAAATTGCCAAGTTTTAATGGCATCTCTAACAAACAAATCTGCTAGAACAATTTCTAATATAAAACTTTACATAAATATATGGTTCAATCTTTGCTACAAAATATAAAATGAAACACCCAAAACATTGCTTTAGTGTTGATGAAACGTGTTCCCAAAGCAAGGCTATTTTTGTTCAAGGCCATTCTATTTTGACCTTAATTTACACTGTAAGAATGGTTTTTCAACATTTTCATAACATCTAGGTCACACCACACACTTAGTGAAAACAACAATATGGTAACAAATCTAATTTTATTTCACACTCTATTCAGACTATTTTTTTCCCCAACATAAACAGGAATAATACATACTTATTAGAAACATTTTGTTTTAATGGTATGTCTTATTAATTCTCTTTGTTTCAAAGGCATAAATGAGAATTGTTTCCCGTTTTCATTCATTTTCAGTATCTTTAAACATGACTTTTGAAATAAAATAATAAAGAAGCTAAATCTCTTGAATTTTAAGATTTATTTACATGTGCACTTATAAATGTTTGTTATTGCTACATTAAGTTTTATATTTAAAACTATAAATCATTTTCGATGAAACTTTGAAATTCTGTGTCCAACTCACTGTCCTTGAATAGTTGGTGCCACTTCTCTACCAGCTAAAAATGGGTTTTTGAGAACATTTATTTACCTGCGGCAATTGCAAAATAGCAAGCGTTAAGGTAAACTCACTTTTAGCAATTTTATGGATACCTTAACATTTTGAAAGTGTTTAGTTGCAAGCCACAATTATGAAAAAGCAAGCACTACTATGAATGTGCAATTAAAGATTATACGGACACTCTAACATTCTTGTCATAAAGGGTTATTTTTACTGCAGAACTTCAAAAGTCAAGATGCATATAAATTACAGTGAGAAGACAAATTAGACTTTTTGTGAAGATCCACTGATGGAGTATAAATGAGAGAGAAATATAGACATCTGTAATACATGTGTAAGGACTTATGTTGATTGGTTCTACTCTAAATCTAAAATCCGGTCACTGGGAACTGACATCCACATGGGTGTAGGAAAGAGGATCATACCACCGGCAAGTCAACTACAATCCAAAACCCAAGCCACCAGAAACCGATATCCACGAGGGAGTAGGAAAGAGGATTATAGTGGTGGCAAGTCAACTACAATCCAAAACCCAATCATCTGGCAGGGGTAGAAAAGAGAATCATACTGTCTTCATCTCACGTTCATGAGATAGAAGGGAATCTAGTATCTCCCGATTCATGAATGGGGCATATGTGAATATGATAAATTGATTGATCGATCCAGGAACCCAACATCTGGTATCGAAAAGATATCTACATAATGTAAACCATCTCCCTCAAAAGTAAAATTGACTGGAACTACCCAAAGCACATTAACACCTCAGAATAAGAAACATCGAGGGATAGCAGAAGGGAATAATCCACAATTACTTCCATCGTGATCCACTGGTGGAGTATAAATGAGGGAGGAATATAGACATCTGCAATACATGTGTAAGGACTTATGTTGATTGGTTCTGCTCCAAATCCAAAACCTGGCCACTGGGAACCAATATCCATGTGGGGATGAACTATAACTTTGAAGTCTCACTCCCATTTGTTTTTATGTTTCATATTGGAGAATATCACATCATTTACACCAGTAGAACACCACTGTCCGACTCTCAACTGAATGGTTTTATAATCATTTCTATATTTTGTTTGTATTTCAATAACCCATTCAGGAGGATGCCTCCATGATCCACCATCCCAGCAACTTGGAACTGGAAAGTGGTAAGGACTGGAGAGACCAGAGGAATGACAACACCTGAGACAGTGCAATGGGTTACCATGAAACCCTATTTTTAAAAGCAGACCATACTGATTTATTCAATCAAGGCATGGCAAGAATGGGCAGCTATCCCCTTCTGCTTTACCCATGTAATCCATGGGTGGATACGGTCCAGGATGGGCAAACTTATGAAACAATTCTATTGCAAGGATAAACCTACTAGCAATCTTGGGGAACACCCCATCTCTGCAGTGTACACTGCACAGCCATGGAATTATAATATGCAAGTCAACATGACTTGACAGTGTGGATTTGAACAGTTAAAGAATATCTGGTCAGGTACCACTTGCCACAGAACGAGATCCAAACAGCGAGTAATAATAATAGAAAGGGAAATAAGGCCCTGAAAATAAAATAAAGAATAATAAAAGACAGCTTACTCACTCAAAGTCTCACTGAAGTCTGAAGAATGGCTACAGGTGGAAGACAATAGCCCGAAGAGGAAGAAGAGTGAGAGATGAACGTATTAGGAGTAGTCCACATGCCCGATTGGAGAATTTCCTCCAATGGATGATGAAGATGAGACACCAGAGAAAAGATAAGGTGATGAATTTGATGAGAAGACACCTGGAAAAAGTATGGGAGGTAGATGATAAAGAGGAATAAGCCAATCAATTCAAAGGCCAAACACAATTGGTGAGAGTGGAAGGAGAAAGATCATGAACAGAGGTGGGAACGGGCACCACGGAAGTCATGTGGGCAATATAACAGTGAAGAGCATGTACAGGATATAGAAATCTATCTGGATCAGACCTAGGATAAAGGTGGGAAATGGAAGGAAGGGAAAATCAGTGAAAAGGAGGAGTTTCACTCCCTAGCCACAGAAATTTTGGGGAGGAAAGAATGATCAGGATAAAGGAGAATATATGTAGGATGATAAAGAGTAGGCTAAACATCAATGGCAAATAAATTAGACCTCCGATGTTCACAGGGTAAGACGTGAAGGAAATAAGTCTTAAGGGAAAGGTGAAACAAGTAGTGGAAAGTGGTTTGAATGGAGGCAAAGTGAGGCAGTGAAGGTCCACATTAACATCCCAGTCAGGAAGGCAGTCCACTGAGGTGGACAACAAATACCCTACAGTATCGGGAAAAATGAAAGGACAAGGCCACCCAATAACCCAAGATCGAAGAGACAGGAGACCCCTGATCAAAAAGCTAAGTAAGAAAATCTGCAATACAAGAAACAGTGAGTTGATCACCAGAAAACCCTTGACCCAGAGACCAACAGCAGAAAACATTTCATTTACATTGATAAAC